CAGCAGGCTCCATCTGGGTTGCCAAGTGGTGAAACACGCAGGAATCAGGCTGCACAGATAGAAAATTGCACTCCAGAATGTTGAAGTTTGCCTTGCGACAAAACCACCTGGATTTGAGCAGTCCTGTGTGATATGCACAACACTGAACCAAATTTGCACGGGCCCCTCTATAAGTGGGGCAAAATACCATGACCGAACTAGGAGCGCAGGGCAACATATAGTATTATAGTGCCAAAATAGAGTCTGTAATGGAGACTTGGCTGAATTCCTGGCTGTGACAAATGAAGCAAAAATTATCTAATTTAGACATACATTTATATTTTAAATATTATAGTTCCTATTTTGTATTTTTCTCTCTTGTGTTTCTCTCAAAATGAGATGTGAATCTGCCATACGATAAATAAATGCACACACCATCACTCATTCCTTGTTCATCTCTTAGCTGGATTACTGAAGTACACTTTACAGGGGCTACCCTTGAAGAGTGTTTGGAAGCTACAACTAGTACAGAATGCAGTGGTGTGACAGTTCTGGAGGCTGTTAAGGTGGTGCATATAACACCACAGTTGCACGAACTACACTGCTTACCAATTTGTTTCTGGAGCCAATTCCCATGATTTTAATTATTTCTTTAATTCTTTCTTAATTTTAATTGTTTTAAAACTTTACCGTTTTGTAAGCTGCCCAGAACTGCTTTACCAATGGGATAGGTGGCATATTAATGTAATCTATCTATATTAAAGAGAAAGACCACTCACGCATCATCACAAAATTTCCAAAACCGTAAAACCTACAAACTTGAAATTTGGTACGCAGGTTCCTCTTGGCTTCTAGGGGCTCACTAAGAAAGGATTTTTGGAAATAACCATCAGAGCATTAGCATTTCCTCTATTATTATTATTAACACGCTCTGATGCTAAGGAGTTCTACTCCGCCTCCCCACCTGATAAGAAATATCTTCCAAATGCAAAACACAAGCAGAGGAGAGGAGTTTCAGTTTCAGAGCACCAAGCAGCTTTAGTACACAACAGTTGAGCTAAGCCATGCCCAGGCTCCTTGCTGTCTCTTTCTTGCTCACACAGGAAATACTGTTTCACTTTCCAAACAGCCCTTAACTCTCTCACACACTGACAGGACGCTAGCCAGATGAACACCGATGGATGCTGGTAGGCAGAGGCAGAATTTTCCCTCCCATATTTTCTTCCCCAAAACTAAGCTTGGCCACATAGTTTTGTAGCGAAGCACGGGTATCGAGCTAGTAAAGAAATAAAAATAAAAGTACCTCCCAGGACATGTGACTTTGCCTTGTAAGAACAAGAAACTATGGAATGCAACCCTCTGTGTTTACACTGTGTGACCGAATAACTTTTAAGATAAACAGAACCTGAAGGATTCCTTGGGGGAACCAGAGATTGGGGTTCACCCCACCATTTCTGAGTACTTCGCCCATCATGTTCCAACTCAAAACAGGATAGAAACAGGAATGTGACCTAGTCGGTTTCAAAAGCCTGTCTAGACAGTTTCACGGTACTGATTAGCAAACTCAAGTGGCCAGTCCTGCTTATCAGAAAGTCCATTTTTCTTTAGGCTGCTCTGAATAAATGAAACGAATAGTTTATGTCTGGTTTTCTCCAACTTGGCAACTTTTAGATTGCTGGACTTCAGCTCCCAGAATTCTCCAGCCAGCAGGATTGGTTGGGGGGATGATGAATGTTGAAGACCAGCGTCTTCAAAGTTACCAACATTGGTAAGCCCTGGTTTATGAGTGAAAGAATAATTGAAATTATGAAATGCGTTAGTCTATATTGCCCCTTTATGCTCATCAGGCATTATTATTTTGATTCGTGACTAAATCTCCTGATTTGTGTGATCACAGGATCTTATTATCAGATCAATCTGATTTCATTTCCTTGACTGCCCTCTGGGAAACCCTTTGAGGCAGGGGTCTCCAACCTGGGCCCCTTGAAGACTGGTGGACTTCAACTCCCAGAATCCCCCAGCCAGCCAGGCTCATCATCTATTAAAAGCTCTGCTGGCTGGGGGAATTCTGGGAGTTGAAGTCCACAAGTCTTCAAGGGGCCCAGGTGTTCTAAGGCAGGGGTCTCCAACCTGGGCCCCTTGAAGACTGGTGGACTTCAACTCCCAGAGTTCCTCAGCCAGCAAGTCCACAAGTCTTAAAGGGGCCAAGGTTGGAGACCTCCGCTCTGTGGGACCAAGACTGCTTTGTGTACCTGAAGTGCATCCTTCTTCTCCTGTTCCAGAAACGTCAGCCGGTCCTCCAAGGCCTTCACTTGAGCCAGTGCGACGCGATTGTGATACTGTTTCTGCATCTTGTCATTCTCCAGCTGGTTTTCTGCCAGGCAGGAGAGAAAGAGAGAGGGAGGGAGAGACAAAAAGAGGGAGAGAGGGGGAGAGAGGGAAGGACAGAGGGAGGGAGAAAAAGAGGGAGAGAGGGGGGGGAGAGACAGGGAGAGAAAGAGAGGGGGAAGAGAGAGAGGGAGAGCGAAATATGTACATATATAGAGAGACAGATAAAAAGGGAGGGAGGGAGGGAGGGAGGGAGGGGAGAGAGGGGGAAGAGAGAGGGAGGGAAATATGTACATATATATGTACAGCAAGAGTGAGGGAGGGAGAGAAAGGGAGAGAAAGAGAGGCAGAAATATGTACATATAGAGAGGGAGAGGGAGAGAGGGGGAGGAGAGAGAGGGAGGGAGAAAAAAATAGGTAGGTAGGTAGGTAGATAGATAGATAGATAGATAGATAGATAGATAGATAGATAGATAGATAGATAGATAGAGATAGATAGATAGATAGATAGAGATAGATAGATAGATAGATAGATAGAGAGAGAGAGAGAGAGAGAGAAGGAGGGAGGGAGGGAGGGAGGGAGGGAGGGAGGGAGGGAGAGGGAGAAAGAGAGAACCTTAACACCCTCCTTTCAATGACCAACCTATACAGAGCATGCAGGGCACAGGTAACCCTTGACTGGGAACGATGGAGGGCGAAAAAGAATAAGGAGGGGGCTGGATGGAGTCGCTGAAGCAGTCGGCCTGAGCTTCAGTGGACTCCGGGAGATGGTAGAGGACAGGAAGGCCTGGAGGAACGTTGTCCATGGGGGGGTTGCGATGGGTTGGACACAACTTTGCAACTAACAACAACAAAGAGCATGAGGTCGCTTGGTGGTCTCCCATCCAACCACTAACTGAATCAAGCCCCCTTTTTAATGTCATTTTAATTCATTTTTAATTCTCAGCATAGGGAAGATTGATCGAAGGTTGATCATTGTTCCGAACAGTAAAATGATCTAGAAAGAGGCTCTCTTCCCACCCCCCTACAAAAAAAACACCAATATTTTACAAATACCTGTCAATTGTCTCTTCAAAGTAGCCACCTCGTTTTGGAGACTTCGGATCTCCGCATCCTTGGCCGGGGTCTTGGAAGGGGATCTCGCCAGAGAATCTGTGCAGGGTGAGTGCAAATGAGACGCAGCAGTCCAGGGAGGACGGCCTTACTCACTCAATCCATTTCGGGGGTTGGCAGCGTGCCCTGAACCTTAAGCAAACACAACGGGGTGCGGTGGCCCCACCCGCCTAAGCGAGGCAAAATAAAATCAAGCTGAACGTGTTGTGCAAATGAGGTTCCTGTGACTTGGGCTCACACCTGATTTCAGTGGGTTGTGTAAATCCATTTAATGAAGAACCAGCGGAAATTCTCTTGAGTAGGTGGGGAGATTAACCTGACTCTGCACTCTCTCTGTGCTTAGCTTTCTTATTCCCAGGTCACCTGATCCCAAATTACCTTGCCTCCAATGTAAATAGCCAATAAAGGCTAGGAAACCTTGATTTTTTTTTGGGGGGGGGGAGCTGGACTAGAAAACCTTTAAGGTCCCTTCTCCACCACCGCTTCTAGGAATCCTTGTGTTGTGGCAGACTCAGATAGTAAGGAGGTTGGGGAGGAGCATGGGCCAGTCCTGGAGTCTGGGGAAGGCTCTGCGTCGGAGGCAGAGATGGGGCCAGGGCCGTCTGGCAATTATCAGCTGCCTTCGGAGTTGGAAGAAGAACAGCTGGAGCCTGTTCCCAGTGTGTGCATGTGCAGAGCTGCTAGAAGAAGGGAACAGCTAAGGAACCAGGATCGACTGGGTGCTGGTGAATGGCTCCTCCCATAGAGGAGCGAAAGGGGAGTGGTGTTTGCAGGAGACAATTAGTTCCATTCATGAGGGTGAAGATCTGTTCCTGACTTAAGTAATTGCTGCTACAGCGTGACGTTTGGAAGCTATCGGCCTGGCAACTCTCCAAGCCTGATAAGGTCTGTGGGTGTAATTCACCCTTGAAAGACTGTTTGCCGGGACTTTGCCGGATGTAAATAATAGGAATTCACATTATAGCTTAATAAAAAGGGGTTCTGTCGGGACGAGGACGTCTGCTTTGTCATTTTGGGAAGCCTAGGTCAGAACACCTTCCTCCTCCCGTAGAGCCACCTTACCTTGCAGTTTCCGACTCAGTTCCATTTTCTCCCGTTCCAGCTGACGGATCCTTTTCTCAAGCCGGCTGAGGCTGGAGCTGGTTGGGGGCGACACCGGGGGTCTCTCAGGGAAGGGTCTGTGGAGACGGGGGGACACGGAGCTCAGAACCAATTCCGGATCAACGGGACTCGGTCTGCACCAAAGGGCGGGAAAAACGGATTCCCCTTTTTGAAAAGCAGGGTGGGGCACACGCCGTGGTGGGTTTCCAAATTTTATTCCCACTGGTTCTGAGAGCTCAGAGTCCGCCCTCTGTATCAATGTTGGTGAGATGTGCTGTTTTTTTATCTCAGGTGAGCCACACGAATCAGCTGAGGTAAAACACAAGGTAATATAGGACAGGTAACGGCGGGGGTGGGGGGTTGGGTTGGGGCCAACCAGCGGTGGTATTTGCCGGTTCTCCGAACTACTCAAAATTTCCAATATCGGAACGCCCCCATGATGGCGAACCTATGGCACGCGTGCCACAAGCCATTTGTGCCGGCACGTGAGCTGCGGGCAAACTTACCTCACTGCGCAGGTGCACAGCTGATTTTTCTGCTGGTTTCAGGTCTTTTTCGAGCTCCCAGAGGCTCGGAAAAAAGCCTCTGCAGGATTTGCAGGCCAAATAATAGGCCCGTTTCATCACTTCCTGTAATGATGGAAGTGATGAAACGGACATATTATTCGTCCTGAAAAGCCTTGCAGAGGCTTTTTCCAAGCCTCTGGGAGGCCGAAAAAGACCTCAAACCAGCCGAAAAATAAGTGTGAGGCGCAGTGCAGGTAAGGGGTTGGGGGGGTTGGGATTGCACATGCATGCTTAGGGGGCGTGGGGGGGGCCATGCATTGCATTCTGGGTGCTGCCTAACACATATGCAATTTTTGGCACAGGAGCCCCAAAAACTGGGTATACCAGAATCGTTGCAAACTGGCTGAATACCACCTCTGGGCACATGGGTGGGAAATCTGTGGACTCGGGAAGGGTGCCGTACACCAGGGGTCCCCAACCACCGGTCCCCGGACCGGTACCGGTCCGTGGATCATTTTTTACCGGGCCGCAAAGCTTGGGCGCCGCCATCTTGTTTCGACGGCGCTTCCGGGTTTTCGTTTGCTTCCGGGTTTTCAGTTGGAAAGCGGCATTTGGGTGCTCGCGCCTTAGTTTCGTCAAAGGGGGGGGCTTCGAACAAAGAGCCGTCCCGATGGCGGTGGAGTCTCGCGTTACTCAGGTACCGGTCCGTGGAAGAATCAATAATCGTGAAACCGGTCCCTGGTTCAAAAAAGGTTGGGGGCCACTGCCGTACACCCTTTCCGGGGTCACGTCCACTTGTGGTCCTGCTCACGGCAGCCAAAATTACTCCTTATCGGCATAAGTTGCCGTCGCAGTTAAGGTTTTCTACAAAATGATGCAGCTCTGATGTTTCCTGTGAATTCATGTAGGAAAACTTACTTGCTGGGAAACAGGCTTGGCCGGTTCGATGTCTGCAATTTGCAAACTTCAGCGAAATAAAAATAGTGGGGGGGGGGAACCACCACACTGTTGCGCTGTAATATAGGTAGTCCTCGACTTACAACCACAATCGACCCCCAAATTCTGTGGCTAAGCTAGTTTTGGCCCAACGTACGACCTTTCTGGCCACGGTTGTTAAGTGAACCATTCTGACCCACGTGGTCATTAAGTGAATCCGGCTTCCCCATTGGCTTTGCTGGTCAGATGGTCACAAAAGGGGATCGTGTGACCCCTGGGAGACACAGCGATCATTGTAAATAGGAGTCAGTTGCCAAAGCTGACTCACGTTTTGATCCCGGGACCACAGTGGCGCTGCAATGGTCGTTAAGTGTGAAAAATGGTCATAAGTCACTTTTTCGGGGATGCTGTAACTTGGAATGTTGCAAGTCGAGGATTACCTGCATTCACAACTAGCTCGATACCCCTGCTTCACTATGAAACTATGTGATCGGGGCTTAGTTTTTGGGGAGGAAAATAAGGGGGGAAAAATCATTGTACTCCTCTGGCTAGCGTCCTGTCAGTGTGTGAGAGTTGAGGGCTGCTTGGAACTGAAAGAGTATTTGCTGTGCGAGCAAGGAGACAGTAAGGAGCCTGGGCATGGCTTAGCTCAACTGTTCTGTACTAAAGCTGCTTGCTGCTGTGAAAGTAAAACTGAAACTCCTCTCCTCTGCTTGTGTTTTGCATTTGGAACAGATTTCTTTTCAGGTGGGGAGGGGGAGTAGAACTCCTTAGCATCAGAGCGTGTTAATAATAATAATAATATAGGCAATACTGATGCTCTGATGGTCATTTTGAAAAATCCTTTCTTAGTGGGCATCTAGAAGCCAAGAGGAACCTATGTGCCAAATTTCAAGTTTGTAGGCTTTACGATTCTGGAGATTTTGTGATGATGCCTGAGTGGTATTTTTATTTTTATATAGATAGATTCAGAGTCCTTCCATGAACTGGGGAAAGAGATCACCAGCCACTAATAATACTTTGAACCTCTTTTTAATACACGCACAGAAGCATTTAATACATGCACGCTTGGCTGTTTGAATACAACAGCCTCCGGCTGCCAAAATCAAAATTACGGAAAGCCTCAGAAATTCCCATCAGACTGAAAGACCAAACCAAACCCTGTCCTCTATTGTTGGACAAATCCCAGATGCCTGGCAGCAGAAAGCAAGAGGCCGCAGCTCCCCTATTGGCCGGCTGACAGTAGTTTCGAGATAGACTGCTGCTGAAGATGGAGGCTCCAGGCTACCTGGAGCACCAGCCGAGTGGGAATGAATATGCAAATCAAAGCAATGCAGGGGTGGGATTCTACCTGGTCGGACTGGTTCTATAGAACCAGTTGTTATGATTCTGCCCAGTTCGGAGAACCAGCAAATTGCGCCACTGGCTGAGCCTTCTTCTCCCCTCCCTGCCCACTCACTCCTTACCTGGCATGCGCGCCATCAAACTTGCCTGCTAAGTTGCTATTTTTTCCTTTTTTCCACCCCAACCATCAGCTGTTCTGCTGTGCCGGGAGATTTAGATTAGCTAGAAAGCAGGAAACCGTTGGATTTCTTGCTTTCTAGCTCATCGAAAAGCACAGCCGAACCTCCCTTAGGATTGAAGCAGTGCAGACTCAGGTAGCCGATGGCAGAAACACAGATCTCTAAGTGAATCTGTGATTCTGTGAGCAACTCAATCTGCCTGCCTGCTTTGCCTGATTTGGGGCGAAAGTTGCTCTTTTTTTAATTAAAAAAAAAACCAATATTGACATAAATATTTATAATATTTACATACAAGCCATGCCCAGCCAGTCACATGACCACCAAGCCACACCCACAAATTAGGCCACACCCATAGAACCGGTTGTTAAGAAATTTGAATCCCCACCGCTGAAGCAACGCTCCCATACTCACATCCCGGAGGTGTAGGTGAATCCAACGAAGGGGAGGTGGTGGGCCGAGAACGTGGTGTGGGAGATGGGTGGAAGCGTCTCCTAAAAAATCAGAAATGGGGGAGGAAGATTATTTCCAAATAGACACGCCCTCCTGTGTATGCAAGCGAGGACCGAAGGGGTCATAAGAGGCTGGGGGGTCCTTGAAAGGTCTGTCTTCAAAACGAAGCGGAGGAGGCCTTTCCCTGTTGCACACCCACACATATGCACACATGCACACATGGTTGACCACAAGATCATGGGGGACATGCTAAGATTTCCCAACCGTGAGCACTTTTAAGGTGTGTGGACTTCAAGTCCCAGAATTCCCCAGCCAGCCTAGCTGAAGTCGAAGTCCAAGCGCCTTAAGACTGGCTTAAAGTAACTTTATTGTTACACCGACCAGCATTCATTAAAATGTACTTTTGTTGAATACAACTCTCAAAGGGTCGCCATCTCCAATACACACTACAAAGACACGACTAAATAAATAAATTAAATTAAATAAATTAAATAAAGAAAAAGGAAGGAAGGAAGGAAGGAAGGAAGGAAGGAAGGAAGGAAGGAAGGAAAGAGAGAGAGAGAGAGAGAGAAGCAGAGGTGGTATTCAGCCAGTTCTGACCAGTTCTGGAGAACCAGTAGCGGAAATGTTGAGTAGTTCAGAGAACCAGCCAATACCGCCTCTGACTGGCCCCACCAACCCCATCTCTTCTCCGCCTCCCATTGAGTCCCAGCTGATCGGCTGGATCTCCTTTGGTTGCCCTGCACAGGAGAACGGAGCTGGAAAGCAGGTTAGTGGGGTGGGGAGGGAAGGGAAGGGGGATTTTGCAGTATCCTTCCCCCTGCCACGCCCACCAACCAATGCCACGCCCACCAAGCCACGCTCACTAAGCCACGCCCACAGAACTGGTAGTAAAAAAAATTTGAATCGCACCACTTGGAGAGGAGAGAGAAAGAGAGAGAGAGAAGAAAGAAAGAAAGAAAGAAAGAAAGAAAGAAAGAAAGGAAGGAAGGAAGGAAGGAAGGAAGGAAGGAAGGAAGGAAGGAAGGAAAGAAAGAAAGAAAGAAAGAAAGAAAGAAAGAAAGAAAGAAAGAAAGAAAATTCAAACCCTGCTCCAAGATTTTTTTTTTTCAAAATATTCAGTTGCTGCTGCTTTTTGCCCTTGCAAAATGGCTTAAAAGTCACCGGTGCCTGTAGCCATTCAGAATGAAGCCTAAATAACGGCACCTGCGGAGTAGCGTCATCATCCTGTAACGGCTGCATGTATGTGTTTGTGTAACCGACGCTGGTGCGGGGGCATTCATGTCCTAGTATTTGCACAGTGTCTGTGCCACGACTTCCATTTTATCCCGTGCCTCCTTGCAGGGGCCACTACGCTAGTCCTCGAGTTACAAAGTTACAACGGACCTCCCCTGGGATTCTTAAACCTGGATTTGAACTTCCAAGGCCCACCACCCAAATAATGTGATTGGGTCTGGGGCCTTGTCACTGCTGTTTGCGGCGTCCCGCAATCACGTCATCCACAATTGACAACGTATTCTTTTTTTGTCGGAAACTGGGGTGTTCCCTTCCAGCTATTAGCATCTGTCATCGGGGAAGCCAAATTCACTTAACCGCCACGTTCCTCGCTTAATGACGGCAGCAATTTGCTTCACCGCCACGGCAAGAAAGGTTGCGACACGGGGCAGAATTCACTTCACCACCATCTCGCTAAGCAACAGAAATGGTGGGCTCAATTGTGGTCGTAAGTCAAGGACTTATCCTGCATGGCGACCCACTTAGCGATCAACATAATTTACCACCCTGATTCTGGGCTCCATTAGGGTCCTAAAATGGAGGACTACTGGTTATTGAGGGGTGCGTGTGAATGTTTTTATAACAGACCCCCCCCCCGCTTTTCCATTCACTCCCAAAGGGGTGGTGTGGATGATGTCATTAGTCATAAATCAAGGACTATCTGGATTAAAGGTCAAAGGTCAAAAGTTCCCCTCACACATCCATGCTAGTCATTTCCGGCTGTAGGGGGGCGGTGCTCATCTCCGTTACAAAGCCGAAGAGCCAGCGCTGTCCGAAGACGTCTCCGTGGTCATGTGGCCGGCGTGACTAAACATCGAAGGCGCATGGAGGAGCGCTGTCCCCTTCCCACCAAAGGGGTCCCTATTTTCCTACTTGCATTTTTTATTACGTGCTTTCGAACTGCTAGGTTGGCAGAAACTGCTGGGACAACTTAACGGGAGCTCACTCCATGACGCGGTGCTAGGGATTCGAACCGCTGAACTGCCGACCTTTCTGATCAACAAACTCAGTGTCTTAGCCACTGAGTCACCGCGTCCCTTTGGATTAAGCGTAAGCAACTGGGTTAGATTGGATTTCGGGTTTAGGCTTAACCACCATTGGCGCCTGCAGCCGAGGCCGTGGCATCGAGCAGGGGTTGCCATCCCACCGTGGCATCTCGTTTCTGTTCTGCAGCCTCCCAAGTTTCCATCAGACCCTCCCTCTGCATACCCCGCACCACCCTTGGCGTCCGCGCTCCTTCGCGAACACCGTCATGGATGGTTACCGCTTCTTTTAAGGTGTCATCATCGACATCGAAGTTGGAGGTGTCGGCCGGACTGGCCACCTCAGGGACCAAGGGAGGAGGGCTCTTGCGGAGGCCCTCCCAGTCGATGCCCTCAAAGAAAGGGTGACGCGTGAAGTCCTCAATGCCCTTCTGGCCCAGGCGGACTTCTTGGCGGCACAAGAGCTCGCGGATCAGGTCCTTGGCGCTCTCCGAGACGTCGGTGATATCCGGGGGGAACTGCAGGTGGTCCTGGAAGAGGAAACAGAAGCGGGTGTTGTGGTTCACTGGTAGCCTGTGCAGACAGTAGCGGAATCGGACAGTGGGGAAGAATGGGGACCAGTCGTGGAGTCTGGGGAGGACTCGAACGAGGGTCCTGCATCCAAGGCAGAGATGGGGCCAGGACCATCTGGGAGTTATGTGCTGACTCCGGAGCCTTCGGAGTCTGGCAGCAGTGAGGCAGAGGATGCAGGGGAGCCTGTTTCCAGTGCGCGTATGCGCAGAGCTGCCAGAAGGCAAGAGCAGCTAACACAAAGGGGTGACTCAAAAGTAAGGCTTGGAGTTGATTGCCCCTCCGATAAGATATAAAGGAAGTGCAAAGATAGGAAAACCTTTGCAGGAAGCAAAGTCGTTTGCTCTGTTCGGATTAAACCTTGAAGCTCTGTGTGGACTTTGTACTTCGGTTGGCTTTTTTTACAGTTCATTTGGCACTTTAGTTGTTGGCAGCCATTCAAAGGAGAGAAAGGTGGGTGCTTATCTTGATGAACTGTCTGGGTCTCATTACAGGCTGAGAATGCACATAATTCCCAGCACTGAAATAAAACAAGAGTTGTTTTAATTAAGCGTGTACTTAATTTACGGTCTCAGGAAGCCTTGGTCAGAACAGGGGGGATGTAAGGGGGCTCAGCATCTCAGGGGGTCTACCTGCTACCCTTGGGCAGCTGGTATCAATAGGGGGCGCTGTGCTCCGCCGGGGACTCCAGAAACCAAAATTCCTAGAGTAACCAAGATCATGAAAACGACAGATCAGGGTTTAAGCAAGGACAAGAGGTTGCACACCTGCTAGAATTCACCGTACGTTATTAGAAGTGAAGCGGCAAGTTCACCCTCCAAGAACGGACTACAGCTAGTCCTCGACTTACAACTATTTGTTTAGTGACCATTCAAAGTTGCAACAAGCAGTGAAAAAAGTGATTTAGGAGTCTTTTCACACAGCCGTTGCAGCAGCTCCATGCAAGATCCTAATTTAGATGCTTGGCAACCAATTCACATTTATGATGGTCGCGCTTGTCCTTGAGTCATGGGAATCCCCTTTTGTGACCTTCGGACAAGCAAAGTCCATGCCGGGGGGGGGGGGGGGGGGGGGGGTTTGGATACATTTAACGACCAGTGACTTAACGAGCAGTGATTCTCGCTGAACAGCGGTGGCAAGAAACGGGGCATAAAACGGGGTGGCTGTATGTTGAGGACTCCCTTTCAGACGTTTGTGCCACTACTGGATGGAGAAGAAAAGCCCTGCAGTGGGATCGTTTGAGGTGACTGCAAAAGCGAGCCAAGCTGCGTCGGGAGGGGAAATGGAAGCGGGTCACACCCAGGGCTGGCAGCCAATTTGATTCAGGGAGGGAGTGGCCCGAATCTTTTGCCCAAGGCAATGTGGTCCATCAGCTACTGAACAGGTGCAAAAATCCAGCTGTTGAGCCTGAGAAATGGAAGATGGGCTTAGGGGCCCTCCCGGTTGCCTGGCAACCAGGAGGACCCCTAAGCCCATCTTCCATTTCTCGAGCTCAACATCTGGACTGTCCCTATCTCCTAGATCTGAAGATTTCACAAAAAAAGTGGAAAGAAGGACCACTGCTTAGCTCTGCGTCTCTTCCTGGTCGTTAAGTCTTCTCTTCCCTCCTGATCTACCTTCCTTTTGTGCCGTGAATCCTAGATTGTCTGCATGAGGGAATCAGACCTGGAAGGGACCTTGGAGGTCTTCTAGTCCAGCCCCCTGCTGAAGCAGGAGAAGCTATACCATTTCAGACAAAGTGGCTCTCCAGTCTCTTCTTAAAAACCTCCAGCGATGGAGCCCCCGCGACTTCTGGTGGCAAGCAGTTCCACTGGTTAATTGTCCTCAATGTCAGGAAGTTTCTCCTCAGTTCCAGGTTGCTTCTGTCCTTGGATGCAGGATTCCAGGTGTGGCTTTACTAGGGCTTTGTAAAAGCTGCCGCTGGGCAGAGCAGGGAAGAGGTAGAACAAGGGAGAAGGGGTTCAGAGGAAGACCCAGACCCAGCCCCTCTTCATCCTAGGGCATGCAGGGAGGAACGGAGAAGAGAGCAACAGGGGTTGCATGGCTTACGGGGGAGGAAAGGGCCCTGATTCCCTTCATTAGCCACACCTGGGAAAATAGTTTAAAAGAGATGCAAGCTGAGTGTGGTGTCTGCTAGGAACAAACTGTGTCTTCCCAACCATGTTGAATTATGGCTGTTCCTTCACATCTGGAATTCCTTCTCCTGCCCTGCCAGATTAATTACCTCATCTTGCCTTGATTGGACTTATAGTTCCAGTTTTTGTTGACCATGTTTTGGCCTTGATTCCCTGCAGCCAAAGGCTGTTCCTGGGAGAGTTTTCCTCCAGCCCAGAAGGGAACCAGGATATTGGGGGCAAAGTTGGAGCTAATAAAGGGACCCTACTGATCATCTGATTGTGTTGCCTTTGTGCCGAGCCCCTTTTGGGTCCTCACACTACACTTGTCTTGAAGAGCGGAGAGGTTGGTCCTTACATTCTCTCTCGGATACACTTCCGCGGCCTCTCCCACCTACGGTGCCCAACGGGCTCACCTCGTGGTTCATGATCTTGCCGTATGTTTCCACCAGGGACTCGGCGTAGAAAGGGGTTTCCCCGAAAAGCAGCTCATACATGCAGACCCCCAGAGACCACCAATCACACTCGGGGCCGTATTTGCCTTTTCGGTCCTCCATGGCTTGAAGAATCTCAGGGGAGATGTAATCGGGGGTGCCCACGGCCACCGAGGACTCCACCTGCAGGATGGGGGGCGGGGAGATGGGATGGGCAGGGGGGGAGGAAAAGCAGAGCGCGAGTTCAGATCCTATCGCCTTTCCAATTGAGCCTTTGGATTAAGATCTAAAGAGCCTTTTTAGATCGGTGTTTTGTTTTGTTTTTAAACTCGGCAACCTTGGGAAGGGTGGGCTTCAACTCCCAGAATTCCCCAGCCAGCGTGGAATTATGGGAGTTGAGTTCCACATATCTTAAAGGGGCCAAAGTTGATAAATGTGGCTGCACACCAATACAACTAGGCACAAGAAGGGTCTTTTCCCGAACACCAGAGGTGGGTATTCAACAGGTTCTGACCGGTTCTAGAGAACCGGTAGCGGAAATTTTGAGTAGTTTGGAGAACCGGCAAATGCCACCTCTGATTGGAGATTTGGCAGTATCCTTCAACTGCCACGCCCACCAAGCCACACCCACAGAACCAGCAGTAAAAAAAGTTGAATTCCACCACTACCAAACACCATCACTCTGGTAAACAACTAATTTGTTGAACATGGTGATTCTTGACTCTTGACGGATGTATCTTTTCTTTTATGTACACTGAGAGTATTTGCACCAAAGACTAATTTCTTGTGTGTCCAATCACACTTGGCCAATAAAAGAATTCTATTCTGTTCTGTTCTATTCTATTCTATTCTATTCTATTCTATTCTATTCTATTCTATTCTATATTCTATTCTTCATTCCAATATTCTATTCTATTCTATTCTATTCTATTCTATTCTATTCTATTCTATTCTATTCT